ATTTGAAGCATTTGAAACTAGAAACATAGACCTTTCATTTGATAGGTCATATACCATAAAACTTCATATCTTGAGATTTATGCTCGTTTGAAGTTAAGTCTTGTGCGAACTCACATGAAACTTTAGCCCATTATATAATTTTCATCTTGACTTAGCCTTAGGGCTCTTCTTAGACCGTAAACCATTTCTAATATACCTCATACACATATTATCATGTTCAATGGATATCATCAGCCCTTGCTTACACGCGAATTAATATTATTAGCACATGCCGATCTTCTTTAAAGCCTTTAAACACTTCGAAATTTTCTGGGGTGTTACAACGAGGCACCTCGTTACTAGGCACCAGATTATTGTTTTCTCCATGATGGCCAGACTCAGCGTCAACGTTCAAGTGGACAGACTGAGAATTTGATATTTTTAAGCTGATCTCAAATTAAGACTTTAAAGAACAAACGTAAAATAGAGTGTGTTATACAAATTTGTATCAAATCACCACTATTATCCTTAGCCCCACGGTGGGCGCCAAACTGTTTACCCTTAAATCAGATAACAATTAAATTTGTACACGATTTTATGAATATGTGGACTGATTAACATAAATAATCAAGAATATTAGATAAATGAGTTAAGGACAAAATGAATGATCAAACGAGTTGTAATTTTACGGCCTAGCCCGAATCTAGGTTGAACAGTAGTTTCGCCCTCGATCGGACCCTTGGTTCGAACCCAAATCGGATGAAGAACAAACAGTTAAGTAAGAGCTTTTGCAATAGCTAAAAAGCAGAAAAATGAATTTGTATTGCCTTGATTTGCGTGTTTCGATGTGTGTTATCAAAGAAAAACCCTCCTTTATATAGTAGGAGAGTTTCATCCCTAGTACAAGTCTAAAAAAAGGTAAAAATCTTCCTTTCTCGTTAATTACTGATCCGTAACCGACATCGGGCGAGATCTGCGCCGTGATATCCGGTTATGTACGGATATCACGGCCCTCTATTCGTCGTGCGTAACCGTTTGCCATATTTCCCGAGGTCTTAGAGCTCGTTCTGGTCCGAGGAGCGTTGCTTTATCACGCCCGACGATAAGTACATCATTCACCTTTCATGGATCTCGGTAGAAGGGATCCCAGCCTCGATTTCAACCTCGTGCATCAGCGCCCTTCTTCTGTCTTGTTCAACGGGAAATCGGGCTATGCATTTTCTTCGATTTTACCCGTATACAAATTGTACAATAATAAAGTTCAAATTCATGGAATATGAGTTGATTTAGTACAATATTTCTTCTTACTTTTCCACTTTTGTTATTCTAGTCGGGACTGCAAAAGATATTTAACATTTGATTCGACACAAAGGAAATAATAATTAATTATAAAGCTAAAATTAAACTAGAAAATTAATGATAAATTTGGCCCCTTTATATGATTTCTTAAACCATGGGAAATTTTTTTGTAATGGCAACTTGTATTGGAGAGATCCGCCAAAAAAGGTGGTAAGATGAATATTTAACTAGGCGTGACATGCTAAATAATTTGCAGCTCGTTAAAGTACTTTACTTATTCACTAAATATTCGTATTCAAAGTTAGAACTTTCAATCCATATTTTAAATTGACTAAACTTTGATCCTAAACTAGTTAAGGTCAATTATACAAATACTTCAATTTATTTGTCACTAGTGAATTTCTTCGCGCTTCGCGCGATCATAAGAGACCCAAATAATTCTTTTGATATCCGAATTTTAGAAATGTACATTAATTATCAAATCTAAGTATATTAGACTTGAACGTTTTAATCTATTTTTACCATATAAAGTTATATTTTCTCTAATTTTATATCATTGGGGTTTATTGGCTTCCGAAGATAGTTAATATTTTTTTTAATAACATATATAAGTGAAATTCACCCTTTCCTCGTCTATTACCTTTTCTTCCTTATTTCTTTTAACTCCAGGATTTGCAGAAGTCATAAACAACAGAATCAATTAGGCATATTCCGTCTCATTTCTTACTTTTCTTACTCTTCTTCTTTCGTTGTTTTTCGTTTCTTTCGTTAATTTTTCTTTTCCTTCCTTTTTCCTCCTTATTTTCTTTTCCTTTATTTCCTTCCTCGTTCTTTGTGCAAAATGGTAATATTTCCCGGCTCTTTCATGGTATAGTGTAGTTATTTTCTATTATTTCTTCTCCTTTTCTTTTTTTTTTCGTTCTCTGCAAAAAATTTGAGTTTATAAACTTTAAATTCTAAAAAATACAGCTTGCTGAGTCCTGGATGAATTATTTTTATATATTAAATAAATTCTTAACATAAATAAAGTTTTGAGACAAAGCTACTGGATTCTGCCAGAACCATTAGGCCGAAGGCTCACTCCGCCGCGGTCTGTTCCCCTCCTATCAGTACTATTTAATCAACCAGACAAACCCAAATAGGTTGCAGTATTCGAAAATCATCTCTTTTTCCTGTTATATAAATTTTCTTGCCATTTGTAATTTCGCCATCTTTTTTCTATAAATTCAATTAAGAGATTGTAGTACTTTCTGATTATTTTTCTCTATTTAGTTTCCTCAACTTCTAGTAAAAAATAGGATAAAATTTGCCCTGTACATATTTGCATCTGCTCGGTGACATCTCTAAAATAAAATTACCCTTACCCAGGTATTCCATCATTTAAAAGAAAATATAAAAAAAGAAAATTCAAAAGACAACTATCTTAATCAAGAAATAACCTTCTCTATCCTGCACTAATAACCTCACATTCTCGTCGTGAATAATTATGAACTGATAGACTCCATATTCTCGTGAATGAAAGCTCAGTCTGCTCCTCATTATCTTCTGCAAAATAAAATTTATCACTTCTATCCTGCACAAATATCCCCTAACAACAAAAGAAGGATGATAAAAATGATCTCTATACTTCTTAACCTTCGTTGGTTAACTGTAATACCTTAAAAGTGAATATTAATATTTTTTTCGTAGTACGAAAAAACGTTCAAAGAATATGGTTCATCCTCCAAAATGGTAAGTTGTCCTCCTCTCTGTTGAGGAGAAGTAGTTAATAACGCTAATTTTCTAGGGGAAAAAAGTGGAAGCAAATAATTATGCTATTAATAACGTAATATCTTGTTGAATTAAAAGATTAAGAAGAAGGTTTTTTTGAAATTGCAAACCATATTGATATATAGTCAACTCATCCTACGGTTTTTCCTAATATTTTGAAATGATAACTGTAGCTCACAAAGTAATTACATTGACTCATATTAAGTGAAACATGTTTTTGAAAAATATACGATATATAAAGAACACTCATATGAGAAGAATACAGGTGTAAGTATTAATCGTAACCAATGAAGTTTGTCAAGATAATGGACTTAATCTGTATGAACTTTTGAAATTAACTTGATTTAGCTTCTCGAGCCTTTACCATACAATTTTGAAAGCACCTCGAGCATCAAGAATGCTTATATACTACAAGCTGGCATTTGGCAATTTGTTTGTCAGAAGTATATTTGATACAACTTTAGTTTGTTATGCAAACACCCAAACAATTATTGTAGAGGGAAAAGGTATCACAACACTCCAAAAATAGCAGGAAAACAACTTGATAATAGGTTCATAATTCATTTAATTGAAAGTACCAAGCGATATAGGTTAGTAGCACCCTCATTACCATCACTACCAGAGTTTTTGCAACACCACCATAACCATATCTGTATGTCTATTATTATAAGAACCAAACCGTCCATATTAGAAAGACAACGCCAAAAAGAAGAAGAATGGCTTGTATGAAGTGGGTTTCTTTTAATTTTTGTTTTCATCTGGAATGTGAGCAAAACACGTGAAGAGAGTACGAGAGAAAAAGTGTGATATATTAAGAAGAGTTGCGTATTACCCTCCCATTGATTAGGTAGAACCGTTTTTATATTAACCATTGATTAGGCAGGACCATTTTTATATTAAATATTGCCAGAATTTTTATTTTTTGGAACAACCGTTTTTATATTAAATGTTGCAAATTTTTTTGAACAACACGACCTTTGACCTTTGAGAACAAATTGTAATTAGAAAACATAAATGAGAAACAATGGGAAAAAATTCAAAAAAACCAGGAAAAAGATAAATATGAAAGCTGGCTATACAAGTATGCCACATCAGCTGGCTAATTCCCAACATTATATATATATATATATATATATATATATATATATATATATATAGATTCTTGTCCTGTCATGCCTATATCATTATAATACTGCCTAATTATTTGTCCTTTAAAACAATCTAAAACTTCTGAAATTATAAATTCTCTAAAAGTCAAATTAATCTATCTTTTCACTAGCATACAAATGTCTAACCAGAGAATATATCATTTTAAATCTCTTCAATATATCATTTTAAATCTCTTCATTTCATTTCAAAGCATACTCAAATAGACACTTTCTTAATCCAAAATTTAAAAGACAAAAAAAAAAAAAACATAAGTTAAAGAGCTTAGTCAAAAGGCAATATTTTTAATCGTTCTTTCAACATAACATAAAGCCAATTTCACCAAACACTTATCGAAAAGGACAGAGAGATTGGGCTTGCAGATAGACTTAACACTTTTCTGGTTTGGGTGGACACATTTCCAAACACCCATTTTTACCCAAAAGGAATAATAAAAATGATTAAGGAAATTATATGTGTCTCTCTTTTTATATTAGAGTAGATTCCTATACCACAGAAATTTTAAATTGCAAATTCCCAATATAAAAATAAAAAAAAAAAAGATATCAATAAGTGGCTCTAATTTTTATTGTACAGACCAGAAAAAGCATTAGTAAAGACTCAGAACTCCTCAAATCTTTTTTTAAAGCATAGAAATGGCTTCAACTCTTTTCCCATAGGCTATAAAGGCCACATCTTTCTGTCCTTTTACCTTCAGCTAACCATCCAAAGAATCTTTTTTGGAAACTATCATTTCTGCACAAAATCCTCTTTGCCCAGTTGAAAAGAGCTTACAGGTATGAAATGTCTTGTTACAGAACAAATATTTACTGGATATACTTATTTCTTTCTTATTAAAAGAGATTTGTGAGACTTGTATGAAATGTTATTTATGTCACAGAATAGATATCTCTTGAATTAAGTTTTAGCCATATTAGCACGTTTTGCTTTACCTATGTTTTCCAGAAGGTTTTTTTGTTTAAGCGGAGCAACATCGATCGACCCCAAATTGCTTTAAAATGAGGCATTATTGTTGTTTGTATTTGTTTCTTGGGAGGTTTGAGCACTGTGTTACAAGTTCAAAGGCTCAGATAACTCACCTGGTTTTGTTCAATATGCTTTTGGATCTTAATGCCATCCCACTTGGCTTCCTTTCACTACAAAATTGTTTGAAACTTTGAAGCATCTTGAAAGGCAGCCCGGTGCACCTTTTATCCCACACTTACGCAGGGTCCAGCGATGTAGGCAGTCTACCCTAATGCAAGCATCCCACGGCTTGAATCCGTGACCTATATGTCACACGAAGACATCTTGAGTTGACTTGAATTTACTTCGAGACACTCTGGTTAATCCAAGAAATACCAGAGATCTAGTAGTCACTTGGAGGAGAAATGAGGAAATCAGAACAGGTCAAATCTTGACTAGCTTCCTACTGATCATGTTTAGTTCTCTTTAGATTTTAATTTTTACCCCTGAAAACCTATGTTGCATGGACTCTCCGAAAATGTTGCCGCTGGGTGTCAGAACCTCCAAAAATAGTGTAATGTTGGAGGATCCGACACCTAGCCGGCATCATTTGCGCGCAACATAGCTGAAAACTAACTATATCCAAGAAGCCAATCATTCGAATGAGGTTATTGGCATGTTGGTTTCTTGGGCCCATTATGTCATGAGTTTAAATTCTATGCACCGACAGTACAAAAACTATTTATACAATCTGATCAATTAAAAGATAATTACTTGTAAATCTCTATGATAAACATTAAAATGTAACCTGATAAAAATGGTAACTAACATGTCATCATATGTTTAAATTCATTGATAGTTTAAAAAAGTTTATACTGTCAACGTATACGTCACGGTTTCGAGCCGTGGAATCAGCCACCGATGCTTGCACTAGAGTAGTTCACGCCTCCTTGGATGCGGCCCTTCCCGAACCCTGCATGAATGCGGGATGCTTTGTTCACCGGGCCGCCCCTGTTTTGTCAGTGTATATAACATCATTTGGCTTGAGGACTAACGCTTTCCATTTACTACAGGCACAAAAAATGGAACCAGAAGAAAACATAAAGCCACATGCTATAATGATACCAGCACCTCTTCAAGGTCACATTGTACCATTCACTCATCTTGCAATAAATCTTGCATCCAAAGGTCTCACCATAACTTTTGTCAATACACAATCAACTCATCAAAGGCTGATGAAAGCTCAATCAGTTTCTAACAGCTCTCTGGATTATGATATTTTCTCCGAGGCACGAAAATCAGGCCTTGACATTCGATACACAACGATATGTGATGGTTTTCCACTGAATTTCGATCGAGCAGGGAACCACAATCAGTTCATGGAAGGCTTGTTACATGTTTTCTCAGCACATGTGGATGATCTTGTGGGAAATCTCGTCAATTCAAACCATAACCCTCCAGTTTCTTGCCTAATAGCTGATAGTTACTATGTTTGGCCATCAGAGATTGCCAAGAAGTATAATCTTGTTAACATATCATTCTGGACTGAACCAGCTCTGGCATTCACAAGTTATTATCATATGGACCTCTTAAGAAGTAATGGTCACTTTGGTTCTCAAGGTATGATTTAATATCTAAAAAGCAGCACTTTAAATCTTACCCCCATTGATTTTGTGGCGCACTCTTTTTTTTTTTCCTGATAAATGAAAACAGTTCAAAATGCACCCCAAAGGTGTTTAACTATAATAATAAAAAAAAAAGGCACAACAAGTGTATATTAGGCCTAAAAATCTAGCCATCTGCCTGTATGAAATGAGATATCTCCTCTTTGCACCATTAATACAAGTAAATGACGAGATCGTTTTTCTTTATATGACATATGTCTTTGTGTTATTCGTTCTTTGACACACCATCGGCAAGTAATGCTCACGCTCTTGGTTTTGCTGGCTTGTGTGTTTAAGAGACACATTCCAACCAAGTTAAGGTGTCTATCCGGTCAGTAGCTAAGTTTGAAGGTCTAACTCATATATTCTGCTAAGTTTAAGGGGCTATGTAGGTATTTAGCCATCTTACTATTGAGTTCTCAACTCCTTCAGACGTTGTTTTTAAAGTTTAAGTTTTGTGCACTGATAGTATGTAATACTTTAAAACATCAAGTTAAGTTACCAAGATAACATGTAACTATTTACAATAAACATGATAATCTGCTATAACAAATTAATTATACTGATAGCATAATTCAATTCTTTGACAGATAACCGTGAAGACACGATACATTACATACCAGGCGTTCAGGCTATTGAACCGGGAGATCTTCCTTCATACATTCAAGATTCCGAGCCATGGAATATAATGCACCGGTACATATTCAAGTCACTTGAAGATGCAAAGAAAGCAGATATGATCATCTGCAACACAGTACAAGAACTAGAGTCTTCAACAATCTCAGCTTTACAAGAGAAGAAACCATTCTATGCAATAGGACCAATTTTCCCAAATGGCTTCACCAAAACCGCCATTCCAACAAACCTATGGATAGAATCAGACTGCATCCAGTGGTTAAACACCAAGCCAAAAGGTTCAGTAATGTACATTTCATTTGGAAGTCTTGCAAATATTAGTAGACAAGATGTTCTTGAAATAGCTCATGGACTTCTCCTTAGCAGTGTGAGCTTTATTTGGGTGGTTCGTCCCGACATCACATGGTCCAAGGAAACTGATCTTTCACCATCAAGATTTGAGGACGACGTAAAAGACAGAGGATTAGTCGTGCCATGGTGTAGCCAAATCGATGTAATTTCACATCCAGCTATAGGAGGATTCTTGACGCATTGTGGGTGGAATTCAGTATTGGAGAGTATTTGGTGCAAAGTTCCAATGTTGTGTTTTCCTATATTCACTGATCAGTTTACTAACAGAAAACTGGTGGTTAGTGAGTGGAAGGTTGGTTTTGATCTTTGCAGTGGCAGAATCCTCAGAAGACAGGAAATTGCACAGAAAATAGACTGTTTCACTTCTGAAGCCAATGAATTAAGGATCAACCTAGAGGAAACAAGGAAGCAGCTCGAAGATGCGTTATCCGAAAATGGATCTTCAGGAAGAAATTACAAACAATTAATCTGTGACATCAAGTCCAAAATTCTGCAGAAAAGCAAGAATAACAACACAAGATTACTTTAGTATGGGATGATATAGCATATTTAGGATCTCAAATGGCATTACACACCTATTTTATTAATGGATTTAAACATCTTGGTGTAAATTGGCCAGTACCAAATATGTTACCTACCATCTTTGCTAGTCACAAACCATGTTCAGTTTAAACTTTGACATGCATTTAGCTTTTCAATGATCTGATTGTGTACATAAAACTCTATTTAATCTTTTCTCCCTTCTTATTATAAAACAATCATAAATGCATTCCTTTGAGGGATACAAGAATGTTAATTATTTGATTCTCATATCTCGTGTTTGAGCCCGTGAAATGGAAAAAAACATGGTCGGAAGTGGCTCCCCCTTTAATGGCCCTACGCGGTATGAATCCGGACTAGTTAGGGTTCCTATATATGTAGATACCAGACGTCGAGTGGGAAATCAAAAAAGACTATAAGGGCCTATATATACATACATCTATGACATAAACAAAGCTAGAAAGGACTCAGAATCCTCCATGCAAGCAAGTTTCTCTCTTGTTCCTTCCAATTGCTCCTTCAACAACAACAGTTCAGTCAAGTTTTCACATTCTTCAACGTCGATATTCTCTAACCATTTACAGAGACCATTCTTCGATGGTGTCGATCTCGACCCAGAAGAGCCACTAGAAACATCACCACAACCAGATGATGGATCTATAGAACTAGAAAAGTGCCTGCCAATGGCGGAACTAACGTTGCCGCAAGTGTAAGGCTTTCCAGTAGGTGAGAAAACAATAGCAGCAACACGAGCACCAGTCATGGATTCGAGTTCTAAAGCTTTCTTGAAAAGACCTTTGCGTCTTTTGGAGAATGTCACCATTCTTGATGCTGCCTTCATGATTTGCTTGATTTCTATCTTCTTCTTTCCCGTCCCCATCTCTTCTTTTCCTTCCTTTTCTTCCTCGAGTTTAAGTTTTATGCACTAATATTGTAATAAAATATTAGGCAATCATGACAGTTATAAAGATCGAAAATTTTGCTTCAGTACTATCTAAACTGCTATTATACCGTCTGTGCATGTAATTCAAAGCCTTCAAGTTGATAAGTTTGACTTAAGAATTGTTGAAGGGTTGTTATGTATGTATATTTATAAAGAGAGATGGAAATCAATGCTATTTTTGTAAGGATTCCTAAAGCTATAAAACGTATAAGGTAGTTTCCTATTAGGAATGTTTCTCTTTTCCATATCCGTTTCCTATTGGTTAAACTTTCTTTTTAACGATTAATATGGAAAAGAAAAAGTCAGATTCGTTTTCATCTTTTCTGTAGGTGAAATAAGATTTCCTAATAGGTGAAGATAATATGTAAAAATAAAAAAGTTTACTAGTTGAAAGGAGTGCTCTGTATTGAACCTTCATTTAGCAAAACGGTGATTTTTACTCCAGAGTTAGTAGTGGTTTCAGACTTGAAATATAATTGCTTTAAGGAAATAATCAAGATGTTGGCATGAGTTTTATTAGCCAACACATTATGGCCTTGTGCTATCCTGATTTTCATAAGTGTTTTGAGAATAAGCTCAATTCTCATAGAAAGCGGCCTACTTCCACACTCACATAGGTAAAATCAGTCAAGGGTGCTCTTATAATCTAACACTCAACTTATACGAACTACAGATTTTCATTAAGAGTTAATAAAACTCAACCTAGCAAATCATCACAGGATAACGCACTCACACCATAGGGATGGAACAATATTAAATATAATAGTGCAAATCAAACCAAGCTATCATATGATTCGTTGTTCTTCCCATTGAACCTGATTATAGGATCTCTCGTCCCAGGTTAGGTTTCCTCATATATGCCTTATGAGTTTATGGGCTTCAAATCCCATCCCCCTCGATGTGCTCCCGACTCTTTCTCTTGCTAAGGCCTTAGTCAATGGATCTGCAATATTATGAGAAGATTTAACACATTCAACATTAATGGTACCACTTATCAAATATGATGTAACGACCCGATCGTTCGTTCTGAGAGTTATAGCCACATTTTCCCCATCTATGCTTATTTATATGTTGTTCAGCTGTGTTGAGTTGTATCGAGTTGGTAGGTTTGGGTTTGGAGTAGTTTTGGAGTGAAATGAACACTTAGTCTCTTAATTAGAAAGCTAAGTTAGAAAAGTCAACCGGAAGTTGACTTATGAGTAAAAGAATTTGGATTTGGATTTTTATGATTCGACTAGCTTCGTTGGGTGATTTTAGACTTAGGAGTGTGTCCGGAATATAATTTGGAGGTCCGTCGTAGAATTAGGCTTGAATTGGCAAAAGTTGGAAGTTTAAAAGTCTTAGGCTTGAATTCGAGGTTGATTTGGTGTTTTGGTGTTGTTTTGGGTGTTCCGGAGGTTCGACTAAGTTCGGGCAGTGATATATGACTTGTTGGAATTATTGATTGAGGTCCCGAGGGCCTCGGGTGAGTTTCGGATAGGTTTGGGTTGTGTTGCGCTCGTTTTTCTTATGTTTCGATGCCGTTTCTTCAAGCATAAATGATATCATATTGAACAAATGAGCTCCGATTTCTTTTTTTATTGAAGCATTAGATCCGTATTGTAATTACGGACCTGTAGCAAAAAGAATTGTTGAATTTGGACATCGTATGAGGATTTTATGGCCATTTTACTAAGAATTAGGTTGCCAGATTTTTCAGACTATGTTGATAGTAGTATTCTGATTATGGTTAGATTCGAAGCTTTTGGAGACCGAGTCGAGGGACGAGGACATCCCGGAGTACGATTTTACGTTGTTGAGGTAAGTAACAGTTTTAACTCTGGCTTTGAGGGTATAAACCCGGAGAAATTAATATCATGTGATTGTTTGGTGGTGATACCCATGCTAGGTGACGGGCGTGTGGGTGTGCACCGCGAGGGATTGAGACTTGGTCCGTCCCGTGAGGCCTAAAAGCTATTATTTGTGGTTATGTGTTTACTTGTTGTTGAACTTGTTTGCCTTCATGTTAGAGATCCTATTTAGGTTTTATTCATTCTCACATTATTTGTACTCAGTCATAGAAATTATTGTACTTGTGTACCTCAGTCTCTATTATTTGCTAATATACTGTGATACTTGATGTGGGCTGTGTTCCCTTATTTGTTGATGATGGTGAGGCTAGTGAGGTACATGATTGAGTGAGGCCGAGGGCCTGGTTGTGAGGATATTAATACCATAGCGCGTGAGTTGTCCGCGTAGCACGTGAGTTGACCGTGCGGGTCCAGGTATTGATATCATAGCGCGTGAGTTGTCCGCGTAGCACGTGAGTTGACCGTGCGGATCCAGGTATTGATATGGTAGCACGTGAGTTGTCCGTGCTTAGCGTTTGGGCTTTGGGAGCCCCTCCGGAGTCTGTACACACCCCCAGTGAGCGCAGAGTGTTGAGGGTATTGAGTGTTGAGTGTTGAGTGCTGAGTGATGGAGTGACATTGTTGTGAGGTTGCATTTACTTTTGCTGTTGCTGCATTTATCTGTTAAATTTCTTTGTGGCATTTACTGAGTTATGGAATTTACTTGTTTATTCCTGTTATTTTTAAAATTGTGAAAAATAAATAATTGGACTATTTTGCTCAGCTCGTCACTACTGCTCAGTTCCTTAGTTATTTCTGTTACTACTGAGGTGGTTGTACTCATACTACACCCTGCACTTTATGTGCAGATCCAGGTGAGTTAGAGCGCGGCAATCGTTGAGTTCAGGCCGGCTTTAATTGGAGACAGCAAGGTAGCTGCCAGCGTCCGCAGGACCTTGTTACTCCTCTTGTCATTTCTTGTTTTGGACAGTTAGACAGTTTATATATCTTAGTTTATAGTTTTAGACGCTCATGACTTAGTGACACCCCGATGTTTGGGACTCGTTTTCGTATTTTATATTATTTACATTTGGATTTGGTTTAATTTATCAGGAATAAATTATTGGAAATATTTTATTAAATTCTTATAATCAAATTAGTAGTAATATTTTGGGAATAGGCTTGCCTTGTAACACGATAGGCGCCATCACGGCCATGGTTAGATTTTGGGTCGTGACATATGATCTCACAGTATTGTATTTTTTCCTTATAGGTCTGAATTTACTGTTGTAATAACGGTTTTGTACTCTATCAATAGCAGTGGTGTTATCGCAATGAACTAAAAAAGGAGAAATTGATTTTTCAAAATAACGAATTTGAAATAATAAATCTCTTAACCAATTCGCTTCCTCGCTAGCTGAAGCTAAAGCAATTAGTTCAGCCTTCATGGTAGAGTTAGCAATTATTGTTTTGCTTTTTTATTTCCAACAAATAACACCACCTCCCAAAATAAAAATATAACTTGTAGTAGAACAGGAATCACCAGAAAAAATGTTCCAATCTGCATCAGAAAAACCTTCGAGTACATCAGGATATTTTTTTATAAAACAAGCCATAGGTTTTGTATCAAGTAAATACCCCATAACTCTTGTTATGGAATGACAATGTTCATTACCCGGCTTGCTTGTAAACCCGCTAAGTACTCCTACTACGTATGCAATATCAGGGCGAGTGCAATCAGTCACATATCTCAAGTTTTCAGTTAAGCTAGCATATTCCTTTTGATTTATCATATCATTATTACTTTGTACAAGAAATAAGTGAACACTTGAATCAAAAGGAGTTACAACATGCTTGCAATCAATAAAAATATATTTTTTCAAAATTTTTTCAACATAATATGACCAGTCAAGAAAATTTTCATCACATGTTCTAACAAATTTTCATTCCAAGAATAAAATTTGCCTTACTCAAATCTTTCATGTCAAAATGGCTACTAAGCATGCTTTTAGTTTCTCCAATAACATTCATGTTAGAGCCAAATATTAATAAATCATCAACATAGAGAAATAGTAACATGTGAATTATTCCAAGACTTATGTAGATGCACTTAGCTTATCACACTCATTTGATTTAAAACCATTTTCAATTATGCGGAAATCTAACTTTTCATGTCATTGCTTAGGTTCATGTTTCAAGCCATATAGAGTTTTTGCAAGTTTACATACTTTTCTTTCTTGTCCTGTTTTTATAAAATCCGCAGGTTGATCTATATAAATTTCTTCATTTATGTCCCCATTTAAAAAAGTAGTGTTTACATCCATTTGATGAATATGCAAATTAAAAATTACAACCACAACAATTAAAAGTCTAATATATGTAATTCTAGTCACTAGAGAAAAAATATCAAAAAATTCTAGGCCTTCTAGTTGCTTAAACCCTTAACAACTAACCTAGCCCTGTATC